CCTACCTTTATTATAAATTGTAACATTATTGCCACTACTTCCTGGTCTTCAGCTTTCTATCATTATGAACCGTTATTGACTGTCAATAGGAACAAAATGATATAATTGCAAAACTCATAAAAACAAATCTACCTACCTTTATTATAAATTGTAACATTATTACCACTACTTCCTGGTCTTCAGCTTTCTAACATTATGAACCATTATTGACTGTCAGGAGAGGTAATTCGGTTGCCAAAAGGTGGTTCGGTCCCTGTGAGTCTTAATGTTCTGGAGTATGAGCTTTTCCATTTCTGTCCTCTCAAGGTTGGTATCTATAGCTGCTATTGTTTATTAGATGCTGAAATTCCGATTGTTGCTAAGGGTTTACTAAATGATATGGTTTTGTCTGTTGCAGGAGATCACATCCAACATCTCATTTGCGCCAATAGGCCTACTTGACATGTTCAATGCCAGTGCTGCTGTGGAGCAGTTTGAAATCCATTTGGCTTCTGACAAGAAACCAGAGCTTTCCAATGGGGAAGATACCACTTCTCTCTCCGAGAATGGATCTCCAACTGCGACAATTGGTCTCAAAACCAGAGGATGTGGAAGATTTGGAGCGTACCTTTCCCAGCATCCACTGAAGTGCACTGTCGACAATGCTGAGACTGACTTCGAATATGACTCTGCAACTGGATTAATGACCATTACCATCCCAGTTCCAGACGAAGAGATGTACAGATGGTCAGTAGAGATCCAAGTTTAAGCAGTCCAATACTAAGAATTTAGTTAACATTGTCACTCTGGTTGGGGGTTTTGGAATTCATGCATTTGAAGACATGATGTGGCTGTTTTGCATGCTGGAGGGAGAGGCCCTACTTGGGAAATAAGTAATAGAGTAGCTAATGTTGTAGTGTTCTGGTTTCTCTGTAATAAAAGTTCTACTCAGCATCCTGTTCCTTTAGTGATGTTGCTAAGAACTAGAGTTAACCAATGTTGTAGTGTTCTGATTTCTCTGTAATAAAAGTATCTAATCTATCTTTGTTACTCAGCATCATCCTCTTCCATTTTTTTAATGTCCTGTGCAAACGTGCAAGCAGGAAAAGAAAACCTTAAATCAACTCAACCTTAGGAAAGATTCTTAGTTCTAATCAGTTTTATACAATCATGAGTCTACTTCTTGAGAAAATTTCAGTAGGGCTTATTTATGTCACTTCGTGAGCGAGTACAGTCCAGTTAAAATTAGACATGTATTTTATGAGATAAAAACTGTCAAGACAGGAACAGTCACTGAAGATTTTCTTGTCTCTCACATCACATGAGAACCCACAAAGAAATGTAGATGATAAATCATATCATACCATATGCAACCATGTAATCATTACCTCATTCAATCATTGTCATCTTATACTTTGCTTAATTACCTTATTTAAGTCGACAACATGATGCAGGTTTAGAAGATTTTTTGTTCCACTCCATCATGACTAACTAAGAAATAAAATTAATAATATGACAACCAGATAATGTATACGACTCTCTAACACCACTTTGCTTTCAATGTTTTCCTTCTGATGCATAGTTTCCTTCAAATTTTACATCCTGATGTTACGTTACGAGTCGTATCAAAAACTAATTATCGAGCATTTAAATGATACATAGGAATGTGTAGGAATTTAAAAAAAAAAAACAGATAAAGAGATTAGAAATAATATTGGGGACAGATCGTTAAACCATACATATTAAAATTAATTTTATGTAAAATTCAAAGGAAAAATTACTAAACCAATTACAAGTAGTCGAAGAAAGATGCCCCTACTTTGTCAGAAAATCAGCTACCATGTTAGATTATCGAAATTATTTGTATCTCTAGGCAATCTTTGATTTCAAATATAACACATCTATTAGAAATCTAAAGAGAGGAGAGAGAGAAAAAAAACTATATGGCGTAGTCCACACATGATATGGATGAATACTTCCGATGTTTTAGTATGATTGGAACACGCCATTTATTATATATGCTAGTCAAATTATTAATCATTACAAACAACTAGAGAGAGATGTTTGCACGCTATGGAATTCTTCGCATTGCATCACGGAGTTTCCTCATAATTTCTCACTCAAAAAATTAAAAAATCATGACATTGTGATATTTCCAAACAATATAAGGGCTCTTTTGAGACTGCTTTTTTAGTCATAACTTCTGATCATAAGTGCTTCTTACAAAAGCGCTTTTATTATAAATATGTTGAATTTTTATAAGAAATCAAAGTGCTTTCTGGAAAAGCACTTGGGGGTGCTTCCTGAATAAGCACATAGCATGTGCTTCTTCAAACATCACTCCCACAACCTAGAAGCACTTCTGAACTGAATCAAAGCGCTTCCATTTGTTAATGTGTTGCATCCTTTAATCCTAAAAATGAAAATGGTGACACAACCCATCGTCTCCACCCCTTTTCTCCAGTACTACAAATTTCTCCCATCTATTGTTTAATTTTTGCCTACAAAATTCTCCCGTTGACAATTTAATAACATAACATGTCAGATTGTATGTCAAAAGAATATTTCTATATGTAGCCGCGAATTAACAGGCATAACTTTAAGTCCACATTGAAGTATATAATCTCACTATATTTGAAGGATTTTCAATGCAAAACATTAGCAAACATAGCATGCATTTGAAGACATGATGTGGCTGTTTTGCATGCTGGAGGGAGAGGCCCTACTTGGGAAATAAGTAATAGAGTAGCTAATGTTGTAGTGTTCTGGTTTCTCTGTAATAAAAGTTCTACTCAGCATCCTGTTCCTTTAGTGATGTTGCTAAGAACTAGAGTTAACCAATGTTGTAGTGTTCTGATTTCTCTGTAATAAAAGTATCTAATCTATCTTTGTTACTCAGCATCATCCTCTTCCATTTTTTTAATGTCCTGTGCAAACGTGCAAGCAGGAAAAGAAAACCTTAAATCAACTCAACCTTAGGAAAGATTCTTAGTTCTAATCAGTTTTATACAATCATGAGTCTACTTCTTGAGAAAATTTCAGTAGGGCTTATTTATGTCACTTCGTGAGCGAGTACAGTCCAGTTAAAATTAGACATGTATTTTATGAGATAAAAACTGTCAAGACAGGAACAGTCACTGAAGATTTTCTTGTCTCTCACATCACATGAGAACCCACAAAGAAATGTAGATGATAAATCATATCATACCATATGCAACCATGTAATCATTACCTCATTCAATCATTGTCATCTTATACTTTGCTTAATTACCTTATTTAAGTCGACAACATGATGCAGGTTTAGAAGATTTTTTGTTCCACTCCATCATGACTAACTAAGAAATAAAATTAATAATATGACAACCAGATAATGTATACGACTCTCTAACACCACTTTGCTTTCAATGTTTTCCTTCTGATGCATAGTTTCCTTCAAATTTTACATCCTGATGTTACGTTACGAGTCGTATCAAAAACTAATTATCGAGCATTTAAATGATACATAGGAATGTGTAGGAATTTAAAAAAAAAAAACAGATAAAGAGATTAGAAATAATATTGGGGACAGATCGTTAAACCATACATATTAAAATTAATTTTATGTAAAATTCAAAGGAAAAATTACTAAACCAATTACAAGTAGTCGAAGAAAGATGCCCCTACTTTGTCAGAAAATCAGCTACCATGTTAGATTATCGAAATTATTTGTATCTCTAGGCAATCTTTGATTTCAAATATAACACATCTATTAGAAATCTAAAGAGAGGAGAGAGAGAAAAAAAACTATATGGCGTAGTCCACACATGATATGGATGAATACTTCCGATGTTTTAGTATGATTGGAACACGCCATTTATTATATATGCTAGTCAAATTATTAATCATTACAAACAACTAGAGAGAGATGTTTGCACGCTATGGAATTCTTCGCATTGCATCACGGAGTTTCCTCATAATTTCTCACTCAAAAAATTAAAAAATCATGACATTGTGATATTTCCAAACAATATAAGGGCTCTTTTGAGACTGCTTTTTTAGTCATAACTTCTGATCATAAGTGCTTCTTACAAAAGCGCTTTTATTATAAATATGTTGAATCTCCCACAACCTAGAAGCACTTCTGAACTGAATCAAAGCGCTTCCATTTGTTAATGTGTTGCATCCTTTAATCCTAAAAATGAAAATGGTGACACAACCCATCGTCTCCACCCCTTTTCTCCAGTACTACAAATTTCTCCCATCTATTGTTTAATTTTTGCCTACAAAATTCTCCCGTTGACAATTTAATAACATAACATGTCAGATTGTATGTCAAAAGAATATTTCTATATGTAGCCGCGAATTAACAGGCATAACTTTAAGTCCACATTGAAGTATATAATCTCACTATATTTGAAGGATTTTCAATGCAAAACATTAGCAAACATAGCAACTTATTTGTGGGCCATAAACAGACAAACATAGTGTGCTTTCCGATTACCACTCAAGTGATATAATCTTATCAATAATGGTAGCTATATAGAATCAAACGATAAAACGGGAGTTTAGAGAACGCTACGTACTTTGTGTATACATAAAAAAAATTATTATTAGAACAACATGTTCTTCCTCTAGAGTTACGAAGTTTGTTGCCAAACTACTCGGATCATTGAATAGGTGAATTCTTGTTGAAATGTGTACTCAGATTGACAATCCAACAACGCACTATGCGAGATAATTGGGAAAAGAACATAACATAATCATATACAATGTCTTTGCATACAGTCTTTTTAAATGATAATACTAACTGTGTGGGTATATATAGAAAAGAATGACATGTAATGATGACGAAGAGATTAAATCACATTTTCATGTGACGCATCAAGAAGTTGATGGGGCACCAACAAGTAATGAGGGCTTCTCAGTCTGTCTCTATAAATATCGAATCTCACCATCCCATTCTTCTCACCAATCCATAAATTTTAGCTCAAATATCCCATGAACATCCATTTTGCATGCTTCTTATATAATAGAAGAAAACGATGGCTCCTCAAGAAATTGATTTAATCCCATTCTTTTTCATCATCCTCTCTTTTGTTTCCTGCAGTTTACAAGACATCCCACTCAACAAGTATGTTGAGGAAGCATCTCAATTCGGTTCCCAAGCTTATCCTTCATACTTCGACATGATCGATGATGGCGGTAACTTCTCCAAAGACTTGATCAAGCAAAGTTCAGACGTCCTAAGTTTGAAGAGCTTCGATAAAGTGGGTGGCACTTCGGCTTCGGTAAATGTCAATGATTTTGGAGCTGAGGGTGATGGAGAAACTGATGACACAGAGGTGATATTCCTCTTAAACCTAAATGGTGGTTATTTTGTGGCTTCCATGAGGTTACTATATCTTGTATTTTGCTTTCTGATGTGTAGTATTATTATTTGTTCAAGAATTAATATCAAGTTTCAGATGTAAAACTTGGCAAAATAAATACAACATATAATGAGTGGTTCCACTACATCGATACTTTCCGTATAAAACCCCACACTGGATTGTATATATGGTCCAGTTATTGATAGTTTGATAATAGTGGGCCGCTAGTCTGTCCCTCTGAAATCTTTACATTATTGAAGAGACAACTTGTACTTTACACTTTATTTCTTTTATATATATTGGTGTTGTATGCTTAATTATATAGTTCTTTCAGGCGTTTGAGAAGGCTTGGAAGGTCGCTTGTTCATCTAATGATGAAGCTGTTCTGGTGGTGCCTGAGAAGATCTATCGCCTCAAACCAATTCAATTTTCAGGCCCTTGCAAATCTGAAGTCACGGTTCAGGTGAGCTAAGAAAGGAAGGCTATAGCTAGCTAACTATGCTTGAATTAATATACTCTAAACTATTCTTGTGTGAACAAAAATAAAGATTCTGGGAAAATTTTCAGATTCTTGGAACCTTAAAAGCTTCCGAAAATCTATCTGACTTCAGCCAAGATGGTAGACACTGGCTTGTCTTTGACACCGTCCGAAATTTATTGGTTGAAGGTGGTGGAGTCATCAATGGCAATGGGGAACAATGGTGGCAAAACTCATGCAAAATCAATAAATCTAAGGTATATTAGTATAATTTAAATGCTGTTTTCAGATACTTGTACTTGGTTTAATAAAATATATGCTGACTTAATGTGTTCCAATCCAATATTGATCATTTGCAGCCCTGCAAGGACGCACCAACGGTATGTATGTTCATTTCCTTACTGAGATAGCCCCATGCATGTATATACATACAAACTGTTATTTTGGCTGCAGGCACTCATCTTTCAGAAGTGCAAGAATTTGAGGGTGAATAATCTGAACATACAAGATGCGCAACAAATTCATGTGTCTTTCCAGAAGTGCATGAAAGTTCAAGCTTCCAATCTCTCAATAATTGCACCAGAGAAAAGCCCTAATACTGATGGAATTCATGTCACAGATACGCAAAACATACTCATCACAAACTCTGTTATAGCCACAGGTGCACTTCACATTAAACCAAACAAAAATAAATTTTTCTAATTACTGCAACCCTTCAATCATCCTAACATATAGATATATACCATATTGTTAACTAAGGTGATGATTGTCTTTCAATTGTAAATGGATGCGGAAAGGTGCAAGCCACGAACATTACCTGTGGACCAGGTCATGGAATCAGGTATAATTTTGAACCCCTACTTTCCGAGTAAATTTTCGGGTTGAATTCAGATCGGCTGTCTAGAGACGTACCATGACAGCCTGAGTATTGTCCAAAATTTTCATGGTGATCACTTCAGTATTGGAAGCTTGGGATCTGGACATTCAAAAGCTTATGTTTCAGAAATTACAGTAAATGGAGCTATACTTTCTGGAACCACAAATGGGGTTAGGATTAAGACATGGCAGGTATATAGAGTTTCAAATTAACTTAATTAGAAGTACTGAATGAGTTTTGAGTACAAAGAAACATGGAACTATCAACAATGTTATATTCAGGGAGGATCCGGAAGTGCAAGCAACATCACATTTGAGAACATTGAAATGCACAATGTTTCCAACCCGATAATTATCGACCAAAACTACTGCGACAGAAAACCTTGCAAAGAACAGGTAATTAATCAAACTACCAGAAGATTAATTACACCAACTTCATCACTTGATTAGGTTCTTGATTAATAATTATCTATTGATTCAATGATCACAGAGATCAGCAGTTCAAGTGGAAAATGTGGTGTACAAGAACATTAGTGGAACAAGTGCTTCGGATGTTGCGATAAAATTCGATTGCAGCAAGAGCTTCCCTTGTAAGGGGATTGTGTTGCAAGGTATTAATCTCCAGCGCGAGGAAGGGAAAGCGGCTAAAGCATTATGCAACCATGTCAATGTGAATAGCATAGGAGATGTTTCTCCACTTTGCCCTTAGTTAAAACAAGGGCAATATATACAAGACTTGCCAATATATATATGAACATCTTTCTTCATTATTTTTTGTTGTTGTATAGGATGACTCATGTCTTGCCCACAGTGATCAGCTCTCTTTTGAGCTACTGTGGAAGCCTATAAAAGCCTAGATACCAAAACTCTTCCTAATTGTTTATTAAAGTGAGTCATATGATATGACATCTTCAATTCAAAATTGTTGTGGCCGCCCCTACCCTTAATATGGTCGTATTTATTTGTTGTCAAGCAAAAGAAAAAGTCATTCCTAATTATTTAACCACCCACACTTACGTAGTCTATTTCATTTTTTTAAAATTATTTTATATAATACAAGCAATAGTCTAAACTATAAAGGGAGGAGGGGTTTTCTCACACGCACACTATCAAGGTGCCATGAGGAATTCGAACCTAAGATCATTGGTCTGCAAGTCAAGACCCTTTTCCACTCGGTTAGACCTCGTTGGCGAGTAGTATTTATTTATTTTTAAAAAAAAGTTGGCATAATTATTGTACACATCCACTGTTAAGTAGTCTTTCTTTATTGATGAAAACACAAAATGAGTGTTGCCAATTTCACTCCCCTAATTATTTCCCCATTCAATGCTTATAATTAATCTTAATTGCAAATTTATCTCGTATGAAATTACTTAAGGGAACAACTTAAGCTTTAAAAATAATAAATAAAATACTGAATGAAATATCAGCTGTGTACAAAATTGTTCCCACCGTTGACTACTGTATGTGAAGGGCAAGCAAAAGTATTGGTTTGTATTTGAAGGCACATTAGTCAATTGATTCATACCCTCTGTATTCACCTCATCGAAGAAACCATGGCTGATGTTGCCTTTGAGTTGGCAAGCAAACTCATTGAAAAGCTAAGCTCCATTGCCTACGATGAGATTTGCTTGGTATGGGGCGTCAAAGCAGACCTGCAGAAGCTGGGGCGCACCATGTCAGCCATCAAAGCTGTGCTCTTGGACGCTGAAGAGAAGCAAGCACATAACAAGGAGCTACGCAGTTGGCTACGACAACTTAAAGATGTGTTTCTTGATGCCGAGGATTTGTTGGATGAGTTTGAGTGCCAAGCTCTGCGAAAGCAAACATATCATGGCACCACTAGAAAGGTACGCCGTTTCTTTTCCCCTTCTAATCCAATCGCGTTCCGTTTGAAAGCAGGTCATGAGATCAAGGGGATTAGGGAGAGGTTAGATGAGCTTAAAGCTAATAAGGCTATATTTGATCTTCTCTCTATTGACCATCATGGAAGAAATCATGATGATCATCATAGTAGTGTAAAGAACATGATGATGAGAGAGAACATGACCCACTCCTTTGTTCGTCCTTCGGAGGTTATTGGTAGAGACTCTGAGAAAAAAGAAATTGTTGATCTTCTGCTGCAACAAGGTGATAACCAAAATGGCAACAATAAGAATGTTTCTGTCATTCCAATAGTGGGAATTGGAGGTTTGGGGAAGACCACACTAGCCAAATTGCTGTACAATGATGAAAGGGTTGTTGGGAACTTTGAATTGAGGATGTGGGTGTATGTTTCAGTAGACTTTGATATTATTAGACTAACAAAAGAGATTCTTAGTTCTGCATTAGATACAGAGATCAGTGATAAGTTGTCTATAGATCAATTGCAAGGAAAGCTACGCGACACTTTGAAGGATAAGAAATTTTTGCTTGTCTTGGATGATGTGTGGATTGACGATCGTATAAAATGGAGTGAGTTCAGAGATGTATTGATAGATGGAGCCAAATTAGGAAGTAAAATTTTAGTGACGACGCGTAATATCTCAGTTGCTTCAGTCACGAGCACAGTTCGAACATACGTTAATTTAAAACGCCTCTCTAATGAGGATTGCTTGTCTTTATTTGTAAAATGTGCATTTGTAGAAGAAGATGAGAAGAAACATCCAAACCTCTTTGAAATAGGAAAAGATATTGTGAGAAAGTGTGGAGGGGTTCCGTTGGCGGTGAGAACCTTAGGGTGTCAATTGTACTCGGAGACTGAAGAACTCAAATGGAAATTGATAAGAGACTCTGAGATATGGAAATTAGAACGAGAAGGTGCTGGTCACATTTTACCTGCTTTAAGATTGAGTTATACAAAACTGCCTTCTCATTTGAAAAATTGTCTTGCTTACTGTTTACTTCTTCCAAAGGGTACATTTGGATATTATAGCTTGGACTTGATCTATTGTTGGATGGCACACGGAATCCTTCAACCAAGGGATCATGAAAATCTAGAGCTAGAAGATGTTGGCGAGCTATATTTCAAAGAGTTATGGGCGAGATCTTTCTTTGAACATGTTGAACTTGTGGACTATCACTATAATCTCAGCTATAGATTTTCCATGCATGATCTTATCCACGACCTTGTACAATCACTTGCAGAAGGTGAGTTCTCTATAGTAAACTCTAGCACCAAAAACATCTCTGAAAATGTTAGACATTTGCCAATTCTGGAACTTGGCCAAAATGGTTCAACAATGCTAAGAAAGCTGAACAAAGTGCGAACTGTAACGGCTCGGGGTATAATTATTGATGAATCCTTCCTTCTTACATGCTTTTCAAGATTCAAATATCTGCGTATGCTCGGCTTGTTTGATTTATCATTAAAAGGGTTGCCAAGTTCCATTGGTACCCTAAAGCATTTGAGATATCTGGACTTAGCTGGTAATGATGAAATCAAGAAACTCCCCAACACAATTTGCAAGTTACAGAGCTTGCAAAGCCTAGGCCTTCTTGGATGTGAGAATCTTGAAAACTTGCCTAGAGATACAAGCAACTTGACTTGCCTCAGACTCCTTTTCTTAACCACAAGCAAACAAGTTTTTCGGAGAACGGAGTCGGATGCTTGAAATCACTTCGGTTTCTTTGTATTTGGAATTGTGGAAATCTAACGTCTTTGCCAAGTGATATGACTTACCTTGCTGCATTGCGTACCCTTGTAATATATAAATGTAAAAGGCTTGAATTGGTGAATGGAAACTATCAAGTAATTGCACTGAGGCTCCAAAAATTGGTTATAGATGGTGTACCAAAGATGTTGGCATTGCCCGAATGGTTGCAAGGAGCTGCTGAAACCCTACAAGACTGCTATATTATACACTGTGACAATTTGGAGGCATTACCAGGGTGGTTGACAAATTTCAGGTCACTTAGAAAGCTGGTCCTTGAATCATGCCGGAAATTGTTGTATTTGCCAAAGGAGGTGCATCCTCTAGAACTTACAATTGAAAATTGTCCTAAATTGGAGAGGAGATGCTAACGTACCATTGGGGAAGATCCACCGAAGAATTCTATTTGTAGAAATCTTGTATGTGTTCTTGGCAATATTTTCCATTTCTCTTACATTGAAGGGAAAATAACTTGCAGATGTTTTCCTTTCCATTGCGGAATAATCTTTTATTTGTTTCTTTCTTTGACTCAGTGATTGATATTGTATCATGGTTCAATTCTTCTTAATTAAGAAGGGCAACATAGCAGATGCGAATTAATCTAGTTAGTTAGAGCAGTGGGAGTGGGACGACATTGATCGAATTTGAACAATGTATGAACTATTCGGGTTGACATAATATATGGACTATTCGTGATTAAAAAAAACCTATAAAATATTATAGGACGACGAACTAACTAATAGCGGTTTATTAAGTTAAAACTGAGGCATGCTTCAATCTCAATTGTTTTTCGGTTGAACACTTGATCAAAATTTCAAAACTACCAAAAAAAAAAAAAGGCAACCAGAAAATAGAGAGTGGAAATATATATATGCATATGAGAAAAAAGAGATGAGTGCTTCTAGTGATGTGTGTGACAGCATATGGTGCCAAGTACAGTACAGCCACTGTTTAACCTTCTTTCCAGAATATACTATTTTCTGCAAAAGAATCAATATGATGGTATGGCAGTTTGTAGTACTCATTCACCGTATAAGCTTGCTGTTTGCTTGAGTGTTGCAAACAGTGGTCATGGCATGGCATGTTAGGGCACAGGCAAGACTTACTTTATGAAACGCTGGAACAAAAAGTTCCCAGATTTTGAATGAAATGGATTTCATGCTGGCAAATCGACACAAGGCAAGATGTCAGTGGCCTGTGTCATCAGATATATCATGTCGTCTTGTAACGGTTACATATAAGTTCTTCTCTCATTCACGGTTTTAGGAACATAGAGAAAATATGCATCCTCACGTGACGAGAGAGATATAGAGAAATAAAGGTTTACTCTCCAGACTAACCATGTGATTGCACTGGCGGAGCCAGTGCATGCCCAAGGTGGGCACTGCCCCCTCTCAAATATTGTTGCACATACAATTTTATGTTAGCATATTGTACAAATATTATAAAATTCCTCACAAATTCTTAAATGGCCACTATTTTCTTTGTTTCTCTTTCATTTTCATGTCTAAATTCTTTTGAATTGCATGTATTTTGTTATCATAAAAGAGTGATAGGTTATTCATACAAAAAGTAAAGGAAAAAAAGAAGAGAAAAGTGATAAAATTAGGAATTTTTTAAAAACTAGGTTGATTTGTCATAAAAGAAAGAGTTTAAATTTTTAAAGGTACCCTCTTACTTAAATTTCTGACTCCGCCACTATGTGTGTGAATTGTATATATGCTTATCAACTTCTATAAGATGTTGACACATTTAAGCCAACTAGTCATTTTATTTCTATGTTGTTGGAGAGAGAATGCTATGCATATTTAAGAGAAGAGAAATATGCTTTGGCAGAAAGAAAGGGAAAAAAAATTACAGCAATTATTCTTGGTTGTTGGGGTCACATATGGGACATTAACATGTGATACCACTAAGGACAAATTGGGAAGAGAAATCAAAGTTATCTCCACTTGAGGAGGTCACAGAGAAAATCAAGACACCACTGACATGTTGTAAATATCCTCAAATGTTTATATAAAATAATGATGTTTCAAACTTCAAGACCGTTTGGTCCTCATCCATGTTCTGCAGCTCAAAATTACACCAACCAGAAAAGAAATCAAAAGCAAAAAGTATACAAAAGATAGAGAAGTGAAATAATCACAGAAAGAAGATCCAAAGTACCAAAAGTAAGAATGACACAACAATTCAATTTCAGAAAACCATTAATTAAGTTCTCTCTCTCTCTCTCTCTCTCTCTCTCTCCATTATTTTGACTCCTTAACATCACTTGGTTTTTTCATTCTCATCTTGGTCTCTTTACCATATCATTCCTTCTTTTGTATAAGTATCATTTTCTCAGTCTAGCTTTTATCACCTCTTTCGTGGTATTTTTTGCTTGAAAATAAACTAATGTTCTAACGAACTACAACCTGCCCTTTTTCTTTCTCAAGTAATTTCATCCTCCTCGTAGTTTTCATTGAATCTTTATTCTACATATAACATCCCAAAGGACCAAGTTAGAAGAGAGACCGTATATCTTCACCAGGTAGCACATATATATGTTCATGGGGACTCTTCCACAGTCACAAGTTGGAGCGCCGCCGGTGGTAGTGGTGGACTCAAAGACTAGTTCACGGTACACGCATCGATCCATTGAGACACTGGTGGTGGTTTTGGCAGTGATCACACTAGTAGGTGTCATTGCAGGGATTGTAGCTCGGCTATGTGGTGGAAGGCATCTTGGTGGCAGTGGTGAGCATGACATAGAAGGATGGGTTGAGAGCAAGTGTAGGAGTTGCATTGATGGTGGAGTTCCACCAGAACCCTCCCCTCCACAACAAGCCAAGCCTGCAGCAACAGAAGAAGCAAAGAAGTGAAAAATGGACATCATAAATTATATATGTAATTATATGAGCCTGCAGTTGAGGTATTAATTGTCCTATCTGATTTATAATTAGTTGTTAATCATAGAACATAGGTGGGCTTATTACCATTAATTACCACATGTGCTTAGGGGGAGGGTGACATAATTTTACTAGTGTAAGAAATTGTTGGAGTTGCAGTGCAAACTGTGTTATTATTATTATTATTATTATTATTATTATTATTGTGTGTTCCCTAATGACAAGAATAGGGGATTTTCAATTGAACTGGTTTTTTTATCTTTCTGTTGTGTTATGGCCTGTAAATTTCTAGTTCCACACCATTGTTTCAGTTGTGGTCTTTCATTGTTTTTTTTTGTTTTTTTTAATACAAGTGATATTGGGGGAGGGGAGTTTTCTCACACACACTGACAAAGTGTCATGGAGGTTCGAACATGAGACTACTGGTTTGCAAGTCAAGATCTTTTCCACTATGCTAGACCCGTTGGCTTCATTGTTAATTTTGTTTCATTTTATGGTCTAATTGCAGTTGAGCTTTTTCTTCCCCAATAGGCCTACTTAATAAGATCATCATTGCTTTCAGCACTATACTTGATATCATGTTGGGTGCCTTAGTCGTAGGCATGGATCTTTTTACCACCTTTACAGTAACAAAATGCTGCAGAACGTAATTAAAACGGTCGAAACATATAGAACTCTTCAAATATTTTACACAAGCAAAAGGTATGTAGTGTATGATTATAATTTCACACTATCTGACCGTTGCTTTTCAAAAGCTGATCTTCATCATGCTATTGCTGCATTAATTCTCTCACTCTTCTTTCAAAGGCTGAACAAAATAGGCCAATGCTACTCAAAATTCCTTCCCCCCCCCCCCCTCAAAAAAACCCCAAAAAAGATCTGTTTTATTTAAAACAAATTTAGAAAAGTCCTGAGAGATCATGATCCCAAACTTGGACATATCGACAGGCTGCAGTGGCTGATTCATGAATTTTCCTACTGATCCAAGAATTCTCAAGCATTACTAATTAGATCCTTCCTGATGATCACAATGGTCACTTTTTGTTTTCTTTTTTCTTCCTTTGGTTTAAAGGAGGCCTAATGCTTGATGGAAGGAGAGGAGGTTTCCTATTTCCAAACATGTTGAGAAGTCAACTGAATCCTTGTAGTTTAGAGATTGGGTTAGCAAAGTCATAGGGATATTGCTTGATAGTAGGACAACTCTTGTATATATTCGTGATGTTTTCTAAGGATTACTATTATACCCAATATAGGGGCTCAAATTATTTTTTTTAAAATTTTTTATAAGAAATGGAGACTTTAGAAACACACCCAAACCTATTTACAACATAACAAGGCTTTTAACTTCTTATAAATTACAAAACTGCCATCGATTTTTTAAAATATTCCCAATCCCAAAACCTCATAAAAAAAAACCCAAAACACTCAATAGATATCAAAGTAATTTAATAATTAAAATGAAATTCAATAGGGGCAGCTGCCATTTTTTTGGTTTGTTTATAAAAATTAAATGGTGTAGGATTTATCTATATCATTAAGATTAAGAATGGGTATATGATTATATATCTCATGTTGTTATCACTTTTACAGTAAGTTAATAAGTTCGGTGGAAACATTTCGAATCACACAAATTTTAACTTATTTGATGCAATTTACTGTCTTTGTTTGGTTTAACTTATTTTAACTTATTTAATGAAAATAAAATAAAGTCAGTGTGGTTTTGCAACCATTATCAATCCCATTAAATTGGATGCATAAAAATGGTTTTGCGGATCTAAGAATTTCCTTCCTGAGGTCAACATGTAAAATGTCCAAAAGAAAAATACATATAAAATAAACTCATAAAAATAAAACGATAACATTATAATTCATAATTAAAAAAATTCCTTGTCACGCTTATTAAGTTTTATTTCATATTTAGGTTGGTTTATGAGAAACTGGCAGAAGTGTGATTGATCCAATTCAATCCAACTTGAATTCATAAACGCATACAAACTTCTTGCTGTTGTCCACTCTTTCACATTCAACAAAATATAGCAAACACAAGAAACAAAAGATGCTAACAACTAGTAACTCCACTAGTAATGTAGGCAAGAAGAGTAAAGAACATTAATTGCTCTCATCTTAGGAGCACAAGGTTTATGAAATCACGGTGGTAAATTTGAATGCTCATTTTCAATTAATGACATCACTACTAATTTCCTAAATTAGGAGAAGCTACCAAAAAAAAAAACAAAAGAGGCCTACGCTAACGCTACAGACTTGATCACCTCAGTTGATCCCTCTTGGTATTACCAACGAAACAATAAATATTGACGAAAAACATAACAAAACTAGAAGCATAGACCAAAAACCAGAAACCCCAAAGAAGTTTTGTTATCATGGGGTTGGGGGCCTCATTCATAGAATCGAAAACTCCTACCCGGCTGGAATTGATAACATAAAATATATTCCCAAAAACAGAGCCGCCACCTGTGCCGTTGGAGGCCTTTGAGGGCACAGGGCTCAGTTGAGGAACACGAACATGTACAGGCGGTGCCTTGCTTAGCAAATCTTCATGAATCTCATCAATTACCTTCTGACGTTCAGAAGTGCCATATTTTGGGGATGCTTCACGAGATTTGATGGCCAGATCATGCCTTTCTTCCCTACTGTATTTTACTGAACACAATTCACCATCTGGGTAGGTGGGCATTTCCTCAATAAGTGCAAGTAAAGCATTTCGCACGCTGCTTGATGACTGCCAGTTTGATAATATCCTTAAGCTGATGTTGGTTTGGATTTTGAAGCGACCATTTTCCGTCAAAAACATGAATGAAGGAGGCTTTGATGGGTATCCCTCCGAAAACTGGATCACCCCATGATAAATCCCACCCTCGAATTCAGTTCCTCTAGGCCCTCTGATTGCAAATTGCCATTCATATGAGTTCCAACTGAATATGCGGCACTCGAAATCATAGGTGGGATTGGATTCAATCTCATTATACTCCTCTAGAATCCGCTTCTCCCCTGAATTCTCCAGGTTGCACTTTTCCTCCGCTATCACACTCCGATCCGATTCCGTCTGCGTTGATCCGACTCGATCCACAACCACCTCTTCCTGTTAAAATTTTTTTAAAAAGTACAATTATTCTCAAAATACGAAGCGAAGAGATGAGGAAAGATAGCCGGAGGTAGGGCTAGTCATACAGAGTTTTGCTTTGTAAAGGTACACATTCATAGAACTGAAAATTCCTATCCCGTCGGAATTGGTAGCATTAAATGCATTCAACGTTGACGACACAGCAATCCAGCTCATTATCCCAACCTAATCAACTTTAGCCATCCGTCAATTATTTTAACTTGTCTTTACCTCTTCTCTTCTGTTCTCTGCAGCCAGACTTTGTTTTTATTTATCTGGTCTTAACCTTAAATCCTTCCTCTCCCCTCTCAGTTAAGTCTCTCTCCTCCATCCAAATCAAGCTCTCTCTCTCTCTCTCTCTCCATCCTCAGTAACACCTCTGTCACCCTCCTCCTTCAACCATTCTCTCAGAAATCTTACAAATTGTTATGGAAGACAAACTTGGATGGTAAAAATCCAAGCTTTTTTTTACCCCTAAAAAGCACTCTAAGCTTTAAAAATAAACACATAAATATATATATCCATATATACCTTCTCTGTCAAACCCATGTAGCCCCTTCCCCAAAACCGCAGTTCTCTTACTCAGATTTTTAAACTCTTTTTCTGTTTTGTTCATTTTTTATGGGTATTAATTCATTGTTCGGCTTGGTTTTATTTTCGTGGCTCGCTCATTTATCTAGATAATTCACTAACCATTGAAATTGGAAAAACACTTTATCAGCTCTGTTTGGAAGATAGACTAAAGAAAGATTAAAGAGGGAGGACAAATAAATAATAATAATAAAAGAAGAGAGTTGCAGCAAGAGAGAACGAAAGAGAAGATAAAATAATCGACAGGAGGATTGCTGACCTGACATCTCCGTGCCAGGGAAGTGTTTCTCGTCTGTTGGAGTTGAGGAACAGGAAAGGTTTCCTCCCCTAGCAAATATTGATGGATCTCATCCATTAACTTCTGACGTTCAGAAGTGCCATATTTTGGGGCTGCTTCACGAGATTTCATGGCCAGGGCACGCCTTTTTTCCTTACTGCATTTTATAGAACCCGATTCACCATCTGGGTAGGTGCCCATTTCATCAATAAGTGCAAGTAAAGCATCTCGCGCCCTCCATGATGACTGCCACTTCGATCTGATCTTGGTTCGAGTTTTGAAGCGACCATTTTCTGTCAAAAACATGAATGAAGGAGCCTGACATGGGTATTCCTCCGGAAACATGACCCGCCCATGATATATCCCATCCTCGAATTCAGTTCCCCTAGCGCCTCTGATTCCAAATTGCCATTCATATGGGTCCCACGGGAGCGGGGCGCACTTGAAATCTAAGGGGGGTATGTCTTGCATCGCTATCAGCTCATCTAGAATCCGCCTCCTCACTACTGATGTTGCACTTGTCATTCTCTATCACACTCTGATCTTATTCCGTCTGCGTCGATCCACAACCGCCTCCTCCGTTCCAGTTAACAAAACTTACCTAAAATGTATACAATTATTTCAAAATACGAAGCGGAGAGAGGAAACAGAGCCCGGCGGTGTTTTACTTCATAGGTAGGGCTCCTCAGGCAGAGTAGATATGCAGATCTTGGTTGTTGCTGTTTCTTCAGATACCACGCTTTCACCTTGATGATATTTGATCTGTGAGATTTTGACTTTTGCAGTAACAATTTGGGATGAGGGGGTGGCAATTGAGTTTTTATCAAAAATAGCCAAAATACTTTCATAAATGTCAAATTTTTATAAAAACTTTCAAATATAGCAGAAAAGTCACATGAATAGACTTAAATACCCTTAAATCTAAAACTCACAAAAACCTTGAAAACAAAAGAAGCATTCAGGGAATACTCATGATGTGGAGCGTATATTCCCAAAGTATCGTTGAACACTAGGGATTGACAAAGCACGTCAAGGTCATTTTGAGATCCTGCAACTCTGAAAAAGGCATGACAAACTTAGGTATCGAATGATGCAACGGCTTCCAGAATGATACTTTTTTGGTCCTTCTTATTCCTATAATTTCCTTTTCAGGTAGTTGGGCAATTCTTACATTGTTAGTGCATGCAGTCGATGCTTCCAATCATACATAGGAAACCTTGAGCCTCAGCTTTTTGTAGAAGACTTTGGAGGTCCTTAAGAGTCGGTTTGCGGAGGTAATCCCTCATGTAGATAGTTTCGATTGCATCACAGAATCTGACCAAGCTCTCTAGGATAGCGAATTTCCCCATTCTAGCAATCTCATCCACCTAGTCTGCAGATGCGCCAAAAGCTAGCATCCGTAAAGAAGCTGCAAGTTTTTGCTCCGAAAGAATACCCAAAACCCTAGTAGCATTGTACTTCTGAATGAAGTATGCGTCGTAATTGCAAACATTGCACAAATTGGGCTGCATTCTATATTGTCCTCGAAAATCAAAACTAGAGTACAACGAATTTGGGATAAAGTAATCTTCCAAGATATTCTTACCTCGAGAATGCCTACGTCTGTCCACATTCGGGCCACGGCCAAGCTGTGAACCACGGTGGTGTTGGCTTGATTGATCGAGCATACCCATTGCCATGACAACTTGATCATCATCTGCTTCCCACTACCTTTCTTCTTCAGCACGTTTGCGCATTCTTTCTTCATTTTCTTGCTCAACCATCTCCAACAACCTCCTCGTTTAAGACATTGAAAGTAGAATGTGTTTTGTAAAATCTAAGAAATGAAAGGATAGAAAAGATATGGATGATTGGTGTGAGTTGAAGCTGTGGTATTATAAAGGGATTTAGAAGATAGAGATGACACGTGGCGCAATTGTAACAACTGAAAATCTTATTCGAAATCTAATATGTGAATTTTATAATAAATATGGACACGTGACAACTAAAAATCTTATCTAAAATCTGATATGTGAATTTTATAATAAATATGGACACGTGTCAATCGAAAATCTTATCTGAAATATGATAAGTGAATTTTATAATAAATATTGACATGTGGCAACTGAAAATGTTATCCAAATTAATCGATTAAGTATAAAAAATTAAATTAAAGTGAATAGTAATTGCCATTTGTCATGAAAATGGATAAAAACACAACAAAAAAATTGCATACCATTCACGTAAATAATAACAGCACTTGTCACTTGTCTCCCCTTGGCAAATGAGTGGAACCATGGAAATGCTCTTATCCTTTTATAAAACCAAACTGATTCTTCATTTTTCAAAAAAAGCACGAACAGATAAAATTCCATGGATACCCTTCTCTCCACAACCTTGCTTCCCGCTCTTTACGTAACTCAACGGTCCTTCCCTCCATTGAATTACAGCTGCAGCAACTCCTCTTCTAACAGCCTCACATACACTCGAAATCCAAAACCCACGGCACTCCATTTTTCTACCAACTCGACTCTTTCAGCGTCTCAAGAACAACACACCGTTTTCTTCAGTGACTGGCCTCATCTCCTCCAACTCTCAATTGGGTCCAAAAATCTCATGCTGGGTCAGGCAATTCATGCATTCTTGATCAAATGTGACTGCCAAAATGATACATTTCAGGGCAATAATCTTGTCAACTTGTACTCCAAATTCAAAAGATTGGATGATGCACAGCACGTTTTCGATGAAATGCTTGTTAGAAGCACAATCACTTGGACTTCTCTCATGAAGGGGTATGCTGACATTGGTGACTTTGAATCTGTTTTTCAAATTGCGCATGATATGTTTTGCAGTGAGGAGAAGTTTAATGAGCATACTTGCTCAGTGCTTTTAGAGGTGTGTAGTTCACTGGAAGACTGGAGATTTGGGGAAGAGGTTCACTGTTTTGTTGTAAAAAGTGGGCTCCAGGAGAATGTTTTTGTGGCCACTTCTTTGGTTTCTATGTACTCTAGAAGTGGCTGCTTGGGTGACGCGGAGAAAGTGTTCAGTAACATGGATTACAAAGATGTTCGGTGTCTAAATTATATGATTTTAGAATATGGGAAGGCAGGCTGTGGAGAGAAAGCAATGGGGGTCTTCATTGATCTTCTGAATTCTGGTTTGGAGCCAAATGATTACACATTTACTAATTTAATTAGTGCTTGCAGTGGAGATGTGGGTGCACATCAAGGCTTGCAATTACATGGGCTTGCTATCAAGTATGGTATTATGGGCGAAACATCGATTGGAAATGCAGCACTAACCATGTATGGTAAGCATGGGATGGTTGAAGAGGCTGAGACAATGTTTTATGTACTGGATGAGAGGAACTTGATATCTTGGACTGCACTTTTGTCAATGTACGTTAAAAATGGCCATGCTGATATGGCACTGAAGGTTTTCTTAGAAATACTTTATCTAGGTATTGGCTTTGATTCTAGTTGTTTATCCACCGTGCTTGATTCCTGTTCAGAGTGCAGAAATCTGGAATTGGGACATCAAATCCATGCATCTGTTATAAAACTTGGTTTTTGCTCTGGTGTCAATGTTGGGACTGCTTTGATAGACATATATGCTAAATGCGGGAACCTTCAATCTGCTAGACGGGTTTTCGACAGTCTTCCAGCCAAAAGCACTGCCTCATTCAATGCAGTTCTTGTTGGATTCATGGAATCACAAAGAGATCTTGAAGCTGATCCCATGGTTTTATTTAGTCAACTGAGATTGGCTGGCATAAATCCAGATTTCATAACTTATTCACGGCTCCTTAGTTTAGCTGCTGATGAAGCTTGCTTATATAGGGGGAAGGGTCTCCATGCTTACACTATTAAAGCCGGATTTGAAGCCAATTCCACTGTAGGTAATGCTGTAATTACAATGTATGCCAAATGTGGTAGCATTGAAGATGCTAATCAAATGTTCAATGGTATGAACACTCGTGATTGTGTATCCTGGAATGCCATAATATCTGCATATGCCCTCCATGGAGAAGGCAACAGAGCACTTTCTCTTTTTGAAGAAATGAAGGAAGAAGGATTTGCCCCCGATGAGATAACGTTATTGGCCATTCTTCAAGCTTGCAGTTACACTGGATTATGGGAAACTGGGTTGCGCTTATTCAATGAAATGGAGTCAAAATATGGGGCTAAGTCAGGAATTGAGCACTTTGCATGCATGGTTGATCTTTTGGGTCGATCTGAGAATTTTTCAGAAGCCATCGATTTCATCAACAGAAGTCCATTTCCAGACTCACCTATGCTTTGGAGAACTTTAGTCAATGTGTGCATGTTATTGGGGAATTTGACATTTGGCAAGTTAGCCGCGAAATGTTTGCTTGAATTGGAACCTGGAGAGGCCGGGTCTTATATACTTGTTTCAAATATGTACGCTAGAGGAGGAATGTTTGATGATGCTGCAAAGTTTAGAACTATTATGAATGACTTGAAAGTAAACAAAGAAGCAGGTTGCAGCTGGATCGAAGTAGATAATAAGTTTCATTATTTTGTCGCAAGTGATATGGACCATCCAAATAGTGCTGAAATTTATGCAAAATTAAATCTATTAAAGGTTGAAATACACCAAACTTGCAAGGAAAGAAGTACCTCCATCTGATTTGGGATCTAATATAAGTATACAAGCACAGCATCCATCTTCTTCCTTCAAGATTTGCAGCGTGTAGGATTCCTGAACTTCATCTCATATGGAGCATATGAAACTTTATCACTTGGCTTGGATGCAGAGGACAACAGAGATGAAGGAATATTAGTCAAGGAGCTTCCCTACTGTAAGTTCTGTTTCTGATGTTCTTAAATTCATAAGGGATACAGATTATACTGTTCGGTTCATTTTTACACATGATTTTTCATGTTATTCACCCACTATTTTGAGTTAGTTCTTGACATTTTATAGCTTTTTACTTCCTTTTTGTGTTTTCTTAGATTTTACCTTGGTTGTGATGAAAATGAGCTAAAAGTGCATTATTAGTTATAAATTCTGTTTTTGTTCATTTTCGTAGGTCAACTTCTTGGCCTGGGATCAACATGCTCTGGTGCTCGGATGAGGTCATGATCTTCATGAGACTTGTTCCAATGGATGTTAACTACAACATATCCAAATTTGAGCTCCATTGGACAAGTATTGCCTATCCAACCAATCCAGCATGGTACCACAGCTCTGGAAATCCGAAGTAGTCCAGCTTTTACCTCCAATGTGTCACTTGATTCTTCTTGTTACCATAACACTTGGTAACAAGAAATTACTTTGGTTGAGAGATATTATCTGAAACAAAGAGCATCTTGGTGAAGACAATAACAAAAGAGCCCATCATG